TTAGGATTCTTTCTTTTCCTAGATTTTTCCATGCGTCGCTTCAATTTTTTTCAAGTATCTTTCTTCAGATTTTAGATCAGAAAATTTCACTCGAGAATCGATATATTCAATATATAAAAGAAATTCCAATCCATTATTAATGATAAAAATAATAAATTTTAATAATCTTAATTAATTTTAGTTAATTTTATGATATGTTTAATTCGATGTGTACTTACGTTTAGTAAGGAGACGGAAGATTAAATTATGTTTTTCAAACATGTTTCCCTTTCCCGCGCATTCTTCGAAGAGGAAAGGCGCGGATGAAGCTGGATCTGAAATCGAAAAAAGAAAGAAAAGAGAAAGGAATTCTCATGATCAACGCGACACAGAGATCAAGATCTTTAGGGATAGGGAGAGTTGTTAGTCAAGAGTTGCTCCCGATGTTGTTCAGATATTTACCGATTCGCTGGAGTCACGAAGCCGTGACGACCGAATCACGTACAGGGAAGTCGGAAATCGGAGGTCAGGCTGATTGAAATCACGACGGGCCTTCTTCCATTAACGATCCACCTCCGATCCACCGCTCAGGAATCACCATATTCGACGTTATTAACCCTGGATCCTCGCTTCCTTGTTCGCAATTCTATCCTTGATCTTGCGACTTGATCTGAAAGGGAAAGAAGAAGAGAAAGAAGAAGATGAAGAGAGAGAAATGGACACGTGGTGTTTCTTCGTTCCAGAGAGAGAGAGAAAGAGAGAGAAGAATATTTCAAAGCTGGAAATATTATTATCGATTTTTCCAGTATGCATTTCTGTTGCATATGCATTTCAATTTTTTCTTTTTTTTTCCTTTTCCAAAAAAGATTCGGATAATCAGCGATAAGATTAATTTAACGAATAATTGCCGACTGACTGTGTTGCGCCCTGATTGAAATATCGGGATGACTCATCCATTATAAACAATCTATAAGTAAACACAGCTCAAACTCTGACTCACTCTTCGTTTCTTCATACGACATTCAGTCCACCGTTTTTTAGAGCAAAATAATCATCTATTTGCCAATTGTACATGTATGAACTTTCCTTGATTAACTCATCGTTATTTTCCTCTTCGAATCTTTATCAAATCGTCGAGAAATTGCATTATGAACTGGAATCCTCCATGCTTTTTAGATGAAAACGAAACTCTTCATTCAATGTTCTTCATTCAATATTCACTTCACCGATTTTTAGAGCAAAATAATCGTTTATTTGCCAATTGTACATGTATGAACTTTTATTGATAAATTCATCGTTTCTTTCCTCTTTGAATCTTTGTCATATCATTGAAAAATTGAATCCTTCACCCTTTTTGGACGAAAACAAAACTCTGACTCACGTTTCTTCATTCATTATTCAGTTCATCGTTTTCACCGATTTTTATATAAAAATAATCGTCTATTTTCCAATTGTATGAATTTTCGTTAATTAATCCATCGTTTTTTAGAGAACCAATTTTTATATAAAAATAATCATTTATTTGCCAATTGTATGAACTTTCATTAATCCATCGTTTCTTAAAAAACTGATTTTTTAAAGCAAAATAATTGTCTATTTGCCAATTGTACTTATATGAACTTTCGTCGACTAACCCATCGTTTCTTTCCTCTTCGAATCTTTGTCAAATCGTCGAGAAATCGCATCGAAGCGAACTGGAATCCTCTCTTTTTGGGCGAAAACGAAACTCTGATTCACGTTTCTTCATACCATATTCATCCATCATTTTCACCGATTTTTAGAGCAAAATAATCGTCTAATGCCAATTTTATATATATGTCGATTAACTCATTGTTATTTTCCTCTTGGAATCTTTGTCAAATCATGGAGAAATCGCATGGAAGCGAACTGGAATCCTCTCTTTTTGGGCGAAAACGAAACTCTGATTCACGTTTCTTCATACCATATTCATCCATCATTTTCACCGATTTTTAGAGCAAAATAATCATCTAATTGCCTATTTTTATTTTATATGTATGAACTTTTGTCGATTAACTCATTGTTATTTTCCTCTTCAAATCTTTGTCAAATCGTCGAGAAATCACATGGAATCCTCTCTTTTTGGGCGAAAACGAAACTCTGATTCACGTTTCTTCATACCATATTCAATCCATGACTTTCACCGATTTTTAAATAAAAATAATCATCTAATTGTCAATTTTATATGTATGAACTTCTATCGATTAACTCATTGTTATTTTCCTCTTGGAATCTTTGTCAAATCGTCGAGAAATCGCATGGAAGCGAACTGGAATCCTCCACCCTTTTTTGGGCGAAAACGAAACGATTTAAAGAAGCAGGAAGCAGGAGAAGGTGGAAGGGAGGAAGCTCGATCATCTCGATGGCCGTGAGAGCACGGCTCGGGTCATCACATGGGGAACAATGTACCCGGGTGCATTGAGAAATAGCACGAGCAGTGGACGGAAAAACACGAGGGACACCGGGTTGGAAGCGCGTTGACTCAGACGTCGGCCATCGGCGGACCTTGAAGAAGGAAACAGGAACTTGACGGGGGCTCCGCGTCAAGGCGAGCCAGAATCCCGCGACCGACTCTTTGTCCCGACTCTCTCTCTCTCTCCCTCTCCCTCTTTTGCGTTGACAGGCCAGTTTCTGTTTGATCGTGTTTATTGAATATTCGGGAAGGGGGAACAGATTGAGAGATTTTTGTTTCCGGTCGAGGATGAAAGGTGACGAGAGATGTTTTTCTTTTTTGGCCAGTAATTTTTCGAGAGGATATAGAGAAAGTTAAGGGAACGAATTTGGAGAATGGAAGAAAACGATTGCTGGAAAAGTTAATTAAGCGTATTAAAAATGTTTTTTTTTGATCAAATTAACATTGAATTTTTCAACAGCTCTATGGATATATTGTATTTCGCGAAAATAAAATTTTTTTTTTTGAAAATAAAATTTCGCGTGAATACGAAATGGGGAACTTAAGAACTGTTAGAACTATCGACCTGTAATATCTATTTTGCATATTGTAATTAAAGTGACGGCATGAAAATAAATAAGCGCGTGTAATTACATTTCAATCTCAATAAATTGCAATATTTAATTTTCTCGAAAGGAAAACACACAATTTTCTCAACGTTCCCAATAATCGTAAAAAATAAAAAGGATATGAAATCCTGAATATGATTGTCATCCGCTGTGTTAATCCATCGAAGAAGAATTTGCATCTTATTCATCAAACATCGTAATAATTTTATCCCTTTTTCGCGAATAAATATTCTCCTTAACATTATTTTATATTTACACAATTTTATATATATACGTAACATATATATATTCAACTCGTCTATTCTGACACTTTTAAAAACCACCTCTTAAAAAAAAAAATCTGATACGAGTTCAACGCAGCAACAAAACCGATTACACCCAATATACGAAACCTCCACCTTACATTTACCCCTCCCCCAAGACATACATAAGACGATCTCGAGCATCTCTTTAAACGGCCCACTCCTCCTCCTCCTCCTCCTTCTTCTCGACGACAACAAAGAATTCGAAAGGGAGGGAGAGGAGAGGGGAGCAATCATCTAATAAACCGTGTCAACGGCCGTGCGTTGTCATGCGTGGAAAAGACGAAAATACCAAGACGGAAACTCGCGGGGAGGGCGACGAAAACGAGTAGTTGAAACGGCTCCTGTTGGAGCGAGTTAGAAATCCGCCGCGAAGGGGAGGGGATCGAGGCGCTACG